CCCTATCCCCTGTGTGCCTTGCCTCCCACGACTAAATCACTTGAAATTTTAGGCGTATCATCTTCTCATCAATGCGCACCTAATAAAAATATATAAAAAATAATTCGTTGAAACAAATTGATCAAAATACCTCTAAAATATTTTTGGGATATTTTGGTCAATTTATTTCATAAAAAATATTTTTTTTATATTTTTCAAAGCTTCATCTATTGTTTATGTACACGCGCTTTAAATTTCAAGTGATTTGGATTTGTAGAAAAACAATTAAAATTCAATCTGAACAGTTGGGCTTATTTTTTCCAGTGAGCTAGTAGGCTCACCCAAACATCTTCCACACACATACACATATATATATATACCTAGCAAGATCATATTAGTCTTTCTTTCAGAGGGTTCTCTCTCCCTCATATTAGTCTCTCTCACCTCCTCTTTCATGTTAGTCTGTCTCTAAATTTTTCAATCTTTTATATTGTCTCTCTATACACCTCTCTCTCTCTCTAAACGTCTCTCTCTAATAGCCATGTACCCTGTGATTTCTGTTTATTGTCCATCTACTGTATGATTTCTCTCTAATGGCCATGTACCATGTAATCTCTCTTTTTAACCATTTATCTCTCCTCCCTATCAATATTTCTTTAACTTGATTTTGTTATTTGGTCTTATAAATAATAGATACCATATTAATAACAGATACCATATAAATATGTTGTGTACAACAGATACTACATTAAATGTATTCTTGTATGAGTTCTCTCTCTCCCCCTGAAACAACTTTTTTGCTTTTACTAACCTTGACGAGATTTATGCAGGCAACGCATGTAGTGTATTGATTCGAAACACACTTACAATGTAAAAATTGATCCTTCGAGAAACCGAAACATCAATTATTTGGTTATCTTTACAAATTCCCTTTGTTATGTGATGCTGATTCTAAGCAAATCCTTTTTATAATAAAAGTTATGATGTTTGTTGTAGTTGTTAATGCTCAAAAACGACATGGGAACTATTTAATGTGAAACACTTTAATGCTATTCAAATCAAGGCATAACGTTTTGGGGTATGTAACAAAATGATAAAGAGTATTAAACACAGTGATAAAGAGAAGAGAAATAACGGGATGAAGGGACAGATTTGGGTTTTGGTGGATTTCATAGAGCTGTCCAGGAATACGAGCATTGGACAACAAAGAACTACACTATTGCTTGGGGTTCATATTATGGGACATGAACTTAGAAGCCAGTTGTTCGATAATACAAATGCCAAACAACACATTGCGTTTGCATAAATAATGAGCACTCATGCCCGGTATTGTCATTGCCAAACTAGAGGACAATTTATGAAAAAAAATAAAAATACTGTTGTGGGGGGAGAGAGGGTACTCATAACTTATATAGCAACAGGGGCATCAAATAGTAATAAACCCCACTAACCTTCCCTGTCAATAGTGCCTGTACATAATTTGCTCTAAATAAAAAAAGAAAAGAAGAAAGAAAAGTGATACGATATTATAAACATCAAAATGAGAGCAAAGATCAAATAAGCAAACTACAAAAAAAATAGAACCTCAACATAAAATTCATAAAAATTTGGACTAGATACCAATTTCCTTCAACTTAAACTGGTACCTGCATAATTTATTCCTTGAAACTTGATCTCATCACTTTGAAGAGAAAGTGGCAGCAAAAGGTGAGACATAGAGAGAAAGAGGTACACTAAAGTTTCAGTGATTCATTCACTGAGAAATGGAGAGAGGTTTCAACAATTGTTACATTGACATCAATTACATCGACATCAATTGCAGAGGGAGCCGTGCTTAGAAAATTGACTTGACCAAGGTATTCACGTGAGGCCGAGTAACTTCTTAATACAACTCATTTTGTTTTTAAAAAAATGAATATAAAAATAGGATATATAAAATTATGAGGCAAATTTTTTAATCAAAGAGTTAATGACACGTGGGTTAGGCCCCGCTACTTGAAGCCGAGGGGGAGTTCAATTCCTATAAGATTCTTTTTTGTGTTTGGTATGAGAGCTTTCTGAGCTCTCACTATGAGAGCTTTAAAAGTAACGGTGGTAATAGAATCGAGAATCGAACCACCTTCCCACGGCAACAAATTTGTTAAGGTTAACCACAGAGCCATTCAAACATGAATAACTTCGATTTTTCACATTAATATGATCAAACTTTACAAATATGTTGTACAACCTACTTGCCGGAAACTCGAAAAATTACTTGGCCAATTCCAAATGGCCGAATTAATTGGCTGGCTCCCAGTGGCCTCGGCCGAGTCCCATAACGCTAGCAGAGAGAGAGAGACAGATGTACATTAAAATTCAAATAATATTCATTCACACCTTTGGAAAGAAGGGAGAGCCAATAACTCAAAACTCACGCACCCAGCGGACTGGAAGAAGTGCCCTCTTTGCACTCTTGCTCCTCCATGGTGTCGCAGAATGGCCTACCTCTTGTCTCAGGCAACAACAAAGAGAACATTCCACAGCAAATAATCACCAACCCAAACACCCCAAATGACCAAAATGCATTCTCTCTCCCCAACACCACAAGCAATGGGCTAAAAATCCCAGCAAACACAATGGCCAGCCTAACCAAAGAAAGAGCTGAGTTTCTCACACTAGTTGGGAACAACTCTAAACAATATATAATCACAATGTTAAAGGCTGTGCAACAGCTAAAGAAGGCCACAAACTCTGCCCCCATTTGCCACCCATTCTTAATGTCCCCCTTTCTCTCAATAGAAACCAACACATCCCACGTTCTCTCTTTAGACAAGGACAAACCCCCCTTTCTCTCTCTAGACAAGAATACACACAAGATGCTAAAGACCCCACTGACCATAGATAATGTGATCATAGCACACCTCCTATTAAGCCTAGAGATTAGGAAAAATGTGAGGAGGGCTGAGGGAAATTCAGCCAAGGCATTGAAAGTGACACTTAGATAGAGATTGAAGTCTAAATTTCCAGCCCCTAGTGGCATTCCATAATACACAAGCCCCACCCCAAAATTAACAACCATTATAGCCAACAACCTTCTAAAAGCCCACTTTTTTTCCCACAATATTTTCATGGCTGAATAAACATTCACATTCCATGCCTCCTCTTCTATGCAAAGTGCCTCTATGTTGAAATCAATGCTCTTGCCATTGAGCCTAGCCATTGATCTCAAAATTTTCAAAGCCTCCTCCTCTCTTCCTCTCACTAGAAGCCACCTTGGTGATTCTTTAACAAAAAAATGCACCAAGATTGAGTAGAAAAATGTGGGGAGAGAGATCATCAAGTATAAGACCCTCCATGAAGAATTTTGAAAGAAGTAGGCCATGATGGGTAGAGAGAGAAAGCCAATTGTGAAGCAAAAGAAGCCAATTACACCAACCTCTCCCCTCCACCGTCTGCCTACGAGCTCGGTTGAGAGGACAAGGGCACTCGTGCAGACAGTGGCACGTGCAAAGCCGCTTATGAAACGAAGTGAGGAGTAGGTCCATATGTTTGGAGAGAGAGAGGTGAAGAGACCTGCTAGAGACATCATGAGGCATGTGATGTGAAGCATCCTCTTGCGACCTAGGGCTGTGTCTGCCAGCGTTGCTAAGACGAGGCCACCTGCACCATGTTCATAGACAACTTTTAACGATTGATCAAGAGAGAGTGAGACCTATAGCAAAGTGGGGTGTGTGGGGTAATAAAAAAAAATATCACCAAAGAAACAAGTAAAGTGTACATTAAAATATTGCTATAGTAGAATGTAATAAGATAGAAAAGTGTATATTGCATTTAACAAAATAAGAAGTGGCATATTATATCATTATATTATCATTATAAAGACAATAAAATAACCACTACAATAGATTAATGTGAGGAGTTCTCAAAAGTTCTTTTCTCCGTCTAAAATTCTTTATGGTATCAGAGCAAGTAGCAACCTCTTTCTTTAGGTGATTCACCGAGCATTCTTGACTCACGGTATTGTTTTTGACGACTTATTTGATTTTTCCTATTACTTCATTAGCATCCCTTCCACGTCCAAATTTTTTTTTTTTCCATTAGGTTTTCTTCTCAATTTTTCTTCACACAGTACACTTTGTCTTATTAGCCCATCATCTTACCACTACAACCGAACCTTATTGTTTGTTCCATCATCTTCTCACGTTTTCTTCATCAAAGGTTATTTTCTTCTCACTGCCACACTATCATCTCAAGCCGTCATCTTCTTCAAATACAAATACTCACTTCATTTTCTTTTGTTCCTGATACTCATCTTTTCTTCCGTGTATCTTTTCACATATTACATTATCATCTTTTCCTTTCACCATATTCTCTCACATATTCTTACCTTACATATTTTCTCTCTCTAAATCTCAACACATTCTATCTTACCATATCTCATTAAAAATCACTCTGCTCCAATGGACTCTTCATCCTCATCTAACAAGTATCCTTATCCATGTACCTTTAATATAGAAAATTTTGTGTCTATTAAATTTACAGAAAATAATTATTTATTATGGGTTATGCTCTCTCTCATTGAGAGTTAGTAACTTTTGGATTCATTAATGGTGATTGCCCTACACTAAGTCAAAAGATTTCTTCTCCTGAAGGTAAGAGTGAGATCGAAAACCCAGACTACAAATCATAGCTAAAATTCGATCAGCTTTTTAAAGCTTGGATCGTAGGGACAATATCATAAGAGGGTTAACCTTGTTGTTGGTCTCAAGACTTCTGAAGAAGTTTGGAAGTGCCTGAAGAATGCCTATACAGGTAATTCTCAAGCTAGGGAGTTTCAACTTACCCAACAACTCTAAACCTGCAAGAAAGGGAATTCAAACATATCAGAATACATATGCAAATTTAAAAGTATTTGTGATGATTTGGTGGCTATTGGAAAACATGTGCCAGATGAAAATAAGGTATTTTGACTTCTTGATGGACTTGGTCCAAAATATGAGAATTATGTTACCATTATGCTTCTGGTTCCTTCATATTCTGAAACTATGCCTCTTATTTAAAGTCATGAGAGTAGAAATCAATTTTATGCCTCTGACGAACACTCATATCCAAATCAAAATATGGCCTTTGTTGGACAATTTTTTTTTTTTGACCCAACAGAGGTAATCGAAACCATAGAGGAAGAGGGAGAAACAACTTTGGTCGTCAAGAGTTCTTCAACTCTCAAAGACATGGTCTTATTCAAACTAGTCCGATCAGTAATGTGGGTCGCAGAGTGACCCACAAAAATCAAGAAAGTGGTGGTACGCTTCCGATGCGACCCATGAGTCAATGTTTACAACAAGTTTCCTAGATGCAACAATCTACTCATACACCTCGGGAAAAATGCCAAATTTGTATAAAACTTGGACATGCTCCATTCAAGTATTGGCATCAATTAATGCGCACATATTAATCAGAATACATTTCTCATGCCCTTGCTGCAATGACTATAACTAATTCAAAAGACTCGGAATGGCTCTTGAACACAGGTGTTTCCACTCATATGACAGGAGATCCAGGTAAGTTGCAAATTATTCGTGCCTTTAGAGGCACAGATACAGTCATGGTTGGGAATGGTAAACAACTAACTATTTCCCATGTTGGTATTGCAAATATGCTATTGGATCTAGAAAATTCAATTTCTAATTTTTTTGGTGCCTAAAATGAAAAAGAACATGTTGTCTGTTAGTCAATTTACAACAGATTTCCCTTGTATTTTTTAATTATCATCAAATAGTTTTCTGATTAAGAAAATGAGCACAAGGAGAACTCTGGCCAGCGGAGTAGAAAGGGAGGATTGTATGCACTTGAAGAAGTGAAACAAGCTTTATTCTCTAATCGAAATAAAAGAACATCAGAAGATATATGGTACCAAAGATATATCCTCAAAATAAAGTTATTCATTACTTAGAATCTAAACATTTGATTAATGTTGATGTATGAAATAAATCTCATTATGTTCGTGCTAGTTGTCAAATGGGAAAAAAATGTAAGCTTCCTTTTAGTGGTGTTGATAAAACCTATATTGAACCTCTCTTTAATATTCATTCAGACTTATGGGGCCCTATTCCAATTTTATCTAATCTTATATGATGTTTATTGATGATTACACTTGTTTTAATTGGATTTATCCTTTGAAATGAAAATCTGATTATTTCGTTACATTTATGAAATTTCATCGTTTGGTTGAAATGAGGTTTGATAAAAGAATTAGAGTTTTTCAATATGATGGAGGTAGTGAATTTGCTAAGAAAGAATGCATTGATCATCTTAACGACAATGGCATCATGCGACAATTATCATGTCCGGGAACCCCTGTGCAAAATGGAATAGCTGAAAGAAAACATCAAATATTGTAGAATTGGACCTTACAATGATGTTTCATGCAGAAATTCCTAAAAGATTTTGGGTTGAAGTCTTTCATACTGCAGTATTTGTTGTCAACAGAATTCCCTCTACCAATTTAAAAATGGATTCACCATACTCACTATTGTTTGGATACTTACCAGACTACTCCTCACTTCGAGTATTTAGTTGTCGATGCTTTTCATATCTTCGAGACTATGCTGCAAACAAATTTAGTCTTTGTTCTCTTTCATGTATATTCTATAACTATAGTGTCCAGTATACGGGCTACAGATGTCTACATCCACCCACAGGATGAGTCTATATATCTAGAAATGTTGTATTTGATGAAAATATATTTCCTTATGCTAACCCCAATTCTTTGTTTGATAGTGCTCAGGTTTAGGGGGCGTTATCCACCTATGCAGAATGGTCAGAGTGTTATGAGCCTAACATACATGCTCTTTCCTCTTCAGATTCATCAGTTCTACATGAACTACACATACGGGACGCCCTTGATGTATCTGGTCCTTCTTTGCCCATCACCAATGATAGCTCTCCAACTTCTCTTGTAAAGGGAGATGTCACCACTGCAACATCGATCTAATAGCTCAAAGATGATGCAACACACAACCATGGTGATGAAAATGTTGCTATTCAAGAAACCAACCAATCTAATTCTTTTACCAGTTTTGGAGCATCCTCGTCATAACATGGTTACAAGATATCAAGATAGTACTCGAAGACCTCAAATTCTCTCATCCATGGTAGCAATGTCAAGTGCTTATGCTTTTAAAATTATTCCTTCTGAACCTAAAACTATTAAGTCTACCTTAGGACATCCAGGTTGGCATCGTGCTATGGAAGAGGAAATTGAAGTTCTATTTGTTAATTCAACTTGGAAGCTAGTTCCACATCTTCCCGGTATGAATGTTGTTGGTTGTCGTTGGGTCTATAAGTCTAAATTAAAGTTTGATGGAAGTCTAGAAAGACTTAAGGCCAGACTAGTTGCTAACGGATACAATCAGGTTGTTGGAATTGATTTATCTGAAATATTCAGTCATGTTATTAAGCATACTAGTATTCGAATTGTGCTCACCATAGGTATTGTGCATCACTGGCCTATCAAACAACTTAATGTGAAAAATGCTTTCCTGCATGACTTCTTAAGGAACCTGTATTTATAGAACAACCTCTTGGATTTGTGAGCTCAAAATATCCAAATCATATCTGCAAATTAAAAAGAACTTTATATGGTCTCAACCAAGTACCTCGGACTTGGTTTGATCGATTTAATGCCTATTTATTATCATTGGGTTTTTATTGTGGCATTGTTGATTCATCTCTATTTGTTTTTCGCACTACTAAAGGTAGTATTATCTTTCTCCTTTATATTGATGATATTATTGTTATTGGTGATAACTCAAATCTTCTAGAATGGTTAATTTTCCAACTTGGAATGGAATTTGCAATGAAATATCTTGGACATCTTCATTACTTTCTTGGTATATGTATCTCATTTTTGCATGTGGGAGTTTTATCTCACAAAGAAAATATGCTCGGGATCTTCTTGATCATGCTCAAATGCTCGGTGCCAAACCAATAGCAATGAAGAATAATATTCATGGGATTTATGATCTATGTCCTTATCCATCTCTTTATCGGAGTATTAATACCTTGCTATAACACGGTCAGACCTTTCCTATAGTGTTGATACAATATGTCAATTTATGCATGCCCCAAATACACATTTTCAGGTAGTTTAGTGAATTCTTCGTTATCTCAATGGTACACAGTCATGTGATATAAGAATCTTTTCTGCTAGTTCCGTTGATTTATCTGCTTTCCCCGATGCAAACTGGGTTGGATGTTCAACCACTCGTCGTTCAACTACTGGTTTCTGTACTTATCTTGGTTCCAACTGTATATCTTGGAGTGCTTAGAAACAATCAACTGTAGCTCGTTCCAATGCTAAGGCGGAATACCGATATGTGGCATCCTCTGCAGTAGAATTGACATGGCCTTCTTTTATTCTTCAGGATATTTAGTTGCCCTTTCCTCGGCTACCAATACTTTTTTGTGACAATATTAGTTCTCTCTACATGACGGTTAATCATGTTTTTTATTCACAGACAAAATACATTGCGTTAGACTATCATTTTGTTCGTGAAAAGGATGCTCTTGGATTACTTATCACCGCTTTGTTTCTTCTTGTAATCAAATAACTGATATCTACACCAAGCCTTTGCCATGAGATGTTTTTTGTGATCTATAAGATAGTGTATATTGAAATATTGTCATGGTAGAAGGTAGCAAGATATGAAAGTGTATATTGCACATAACAAGATAAAAATGTACACATTATACCATTGTATTACCGCTTTGTTTCATCTCGTAATCAAATAACTGATATCTACACCAAGCCTTTGCCATGAGATGTTTTTTGTGATCTATAAGATAGTGTATATTGAAATATTGTCATGGTAGAAGGTAGCAAGATATGAAAGTGTATATTGCACATAACAAGATAAAAATGTACACATTATACCATTGTATTACCATTATATATACAATGAACCACTACAATAGATTAATATGGGATACAATTATCTTCTCAAAAGTATATTTCTCTCTCTAAAATTCTTTATGGGGTGTGGATCTCTTTTTAGTAAAGTGGTGTGTGGATCCTTTTTTACCAAACTATTAGAGAGCAAGAGAGAAAGCAATTATATAGATTATGGACAATGGAATCATGGATATCACGGTACAATCTCTTAAGGTAGCCCATGCATTTAATTTTTTTATTACCTACATGCACCTATCCGTATTGCAATGTGTGTGTAAACCAGTGTTTGACTACTCGGGCGAGCCAATCCGGAATCGCACGAGTCACTCGTGCTTGCCACCCAGGCAAGTCTGAGTATCCCAAGTTTGTTGGGTGGTCAGACTCAAGGATCTAAAACAATTTCAGAAAATATTTTTAAAATCCAAAAAAATAAAAAGTTTACTTGTAATATGTTATATAATATTTTTCTGTTACTTTGGCAAAGATTGAAATGTGTTTTGGCTATGAATAGTTAGTTTTTTTTTTTTCCTTTGTTTGAATATTTCTAAAATACCTCCGTCAGAATTGACTTTTTCAAAATCTATTTTTTCACTAGTTCTAAATGATTTCTTTAATTTTACTTTAAATGTATTTTTATTATTTTTTTAGGCTTTTTGTATTTTGTATTTATTTTAACACTTTTTAGCTTGGCCGAAGTCAGCCTAGACTGGGCCAAGTTTGAGGCTTTGCCAGGGGCCAAGCCCTGTGGCTGAGCCGTGTTTTCGAATCACAGATCCAACATCTGAAGTTAGGCGCGGCCATGAGTTGTTATGGATACTCATCTATCCGTATTGCAGTGTTTGTGCAAACAAATGTACTCCCCATTTACTCTTGTTCATAAATATTGATTTTCAAAGTAGGGTAATCCTGTACATAATAATAAAAAATGATTAAAATTTGAAATAAGTGAAAGCAAACTACATTATTAACAGGCTAGATATACAAATTTGTCAAACAACAGATGATAATTATTGGGAATGGGGTTGAGGTCATAATGGTAGCATCACTTGAGCCTTAACTACCGATCTAGATTTCCATTCCAACTAATACATTAAAAAACCATTAATTATTTCTAAAAACGGATAGGAACATGTATTCCCCATTGATCTACCCAAAAAGAAAAATAAATAAATATTAACAATTATAGAAAAAAATCATAGACACTGATACTAAACCTAGCACTTACTAAACCTAGCACTTACCATATATACAAGATACTATACCTACACTTTCTATACATATCTATTACGGTAAACACCTTTCATAATCCATATTAACCCTATAGAAAATATATTACTTTCCTTAATATAAACAAAGTTAAAATTCCAAAATAAAAGGAAAAATACATAAAAGATGGAATTTTGAAGAAAATGATATACTCCTTGAAACACTTTGAAAAAAATCCAAATAAGGTGAGAAAGAAGAAAAATATAGCATATGATAGGAAAATTTCAAAAATCAACATCCAAAACATCAAAATAATATGTAAAAAATATTTATATGTTGATTCAGTAAAAAAAACATAAATTTTATAATTCTTTATATGTAAAATACTAATATATTGATTCAATAAAAACAACATAACTTTTATAATTTCTTTATAAACCCGAGTTTCTACTTGGAAGCCCAACTCAGCAACGTGCCACTTCCGAGTCGACTCGACCAAGTTTTGAAACCAGGGTAGAGATCATTTAGAGGGGTTGTTTGACCCCAAAACGAGTTATTCTTTATGCACTGCTTCTTTTTATTATCTCAGCTATCAATCCAGTAAAATTAAAAAAAAGTGAATGACCATTTTGGACCCTAAAGATAGTCCAAATGAACTCGACTTCAACAGTAAATGAATACCGTCCATTCCAAAAAGGGTCTCTAATTGGTTAAGAACACAAAATCTAATGTTTTTTTAATGAAATAAATTGTTCATCTGGTGAATTGAAATGTTCTGCATTAATTTAGATCAAGAACAACTTCTTAACCAGTGTTTTCAAACACAATTCGGCCAAACACTCGCACCTTGTTGAGGCGACTTTGTTGGCCAAGTTGAAGAAACTCACCTTAGTCATATTTACTTTTAAAAAATGAAAAAAACAGAATAAAAAAGATAGTAAATAAAGCAACCTCCACAATTTAGAATAAGTCATTAATTGTCGTATTGGTTGGCACATCCATCTAAGTTTGTTGATCCATGAAAAGCCTATATAGGTTCAACCCCCACACATACCATTTATGCATTTATGACTTATAGGTGACATAAACGCAAGCTCTCTATGCATCCCCTACAACGTAAAAATTATATACTTCCCTTTTACTCAACCTTCCCTTCTGAATGGAGGGTTAAGATGGTTCCAATCACAATGTCTTTGTCTCTACACTATTTTATTTTTAATTTTTTTCTATAAACTATTTTGACACCAAATTTTGTGCGTCCAATCCTATATTAAACTCGTACTATCGAAAAATATAAAAAATTTATTTTGAATAAAATAAAATAACAAACATACTCCTCAAAGTTTTAAGGGGTATTTTTGTCATTATAATTTATTAAAAATTATTTTTAATATTTTTTATAGGTGCGACCTAATGAGAAGATGACACTTAACAAATTTCATGTTCATATAATTTGTATAAAAAAATAAAAGTAAAATATTTTGAGATGTCGGATCTAAAATCAACTGGTGAGTGTCTCTCTTAATCAAAATTGAACGGCTAGATGGTAGGAGAAGCATGGATCTTCTATGCTGTAGGAGAAGTATAGAAACCTTTCTCATCTAAAACTCAGTACAATCTACTCAGATAAAACTTGCCTCGATTAACTCAACCGAGTCCGAGTGTCCTCGGCCTAACACTAATTTTTCCCTTGGGAGAGGATGAAAAATTTTCTCTTACAGGAAAACACTTGCATATAAGAGAAAGTATTTAATTACTGGAAAATAATAAATTTATTGTGGGGAAAAAGAAAGATCTAAAAAATTTGAAACTTCCATTCATAAGAGAAAAATATACAAAATTTTCTAGGCTGAGCTTTAGATACAAAGACACGGAATCAGATGAAACCAGGACTCACCAACCAAGCAACCGAAAAAGAAGGCCGATGCCGGCAACCCTGCAATCACCCGGCTCGAGCACGACACTCCCCACTCGGAAACCGTTGAGGCCCACACACCCCTGTCCCAGGCCCACATATCTGTTCCGATCTCGCACACAGAAGCAGCTCCGCCACACCCACTTGGGCTCGTGCAGTGCCAAGTCGGCTCAGCATCAGTAAATATGTTTATGAAGGTGTGTTGAGCATCAAAGCACCAGGCGATGGACACAAGCAAGGCCTGAGCTAGCTGACCAGGCCCAAACGAGCCCACATATTCTTCGATGGCCTCATTGATGGAGGTCGGATGCTTCTCTGTTGTCTGGTCTTCATGGGCCTGGGCTTGGTGGACTTCATCTTGTTCTTCTTTCGTGTGGGTTAGAAAGGGGTCTTGGAGAGAGGAAGCCATGGATGCTGCTTCAAAGTGTGAGAGATGAGAAGGGTTTATTGATATTGTAGAAGAGGGCACGTGATGCTTATTCGTGAGAGAGAGAGAAAGAGAGAGCTGTGAGCCATGAGAAGGATTTATAGAGAGAGAGAGAGAGCCGTGAGAGATGAGAAAGGCTTATAAGATGTTGTAGAAGACGGCACATCGTGTTAGAGAGAGAGAGCAGTGGATGGGACAAATTTGTTATGTTAGAGAGAGAGAGCAGATACAAATTAAAAAATTATTATCTATAAAGAGACCATTTACCTCTAACTAATTTTTCCTATTAATTATATGTCAAATTGGAAACCTTGGGTGAGTTACGAAGTTCGAAATTTGTTTTTTGAACTTTGTATCTAATCAATAATATTCTTATATGTAGAAACGAAAAACAATTCACGAAAACAAGAAAGAATAAACAAACACAAAAAAAGAAACAACCAACCGCAACGCAAAGATATACGTGGTTCGGCAACGTGCCTACGTTTACGGGAGATTAGAGCTTTTTTATTAGCAATTGAAAATAGGGTTACAATACGCTCTCTTCTTCACGCCTATCTGTTTTTATCTCATTACAAAGAGATCTGCGTTTTTTCCTTAACCCTTAACTTTTGGATGAACCCCCAATCGCAACGATATATATCGATTCCCAGATAGATGGTATAAATTACTAAAATACCCTTATATGGATATATATATATCAAGTCCCAGATAGATCGAATCACATGTACGGATATATATATCAAGTCTCAGATATATCGAATCCCATGTACAAATATATCCGAACCCTGAAAAATATATTTCCTCAGAATATAAGACATCAATCCTCAACAATCTCTACCTTGGCTTGAATTCTGTCGAGCCACATTGAAGATGTCTTCATCCCCATACCTCCATAAAGGTATGCTACTGCACCCCCACCTGCCATAGGGTGCTGCCATCACTCTCAACAATGAGAGACATTAAGCAATTTCAAGCAAAGCTTGAACTTCTCCGTGGTGACCGGCTTTGTAAGCATATTTGCAGTGTTGTCATTCGTATGAATTTTCTTCAAGTGAATTATTCTTTTTGACACAAAGTCCCTGATCTTGTGATATCTCACATCAATGTGTTTTGTCTTTGTATGAAACCCTTGATTCTTTGCAAGATTTATGGCACTTTGACTATCACAATACAACACAGTACCTTCTTGCTCCATCCCCAACTCACGAGCCAAACCAGTCGACCAAATCATCTTATTTGCAACCTCAACTGCTGCCATGTACTCTACCTTTGTCGTAAACAAGGCAATCGTGGGTAGAAGCATTGCCTTTCATGAAATAGGTCCACCTGCTAGTGTGAAGACATACCTTATAGTAGACCTTCGCTTGTCTAAATCACCAACATAGTCGGAATCAACATATCCCACAAATTTTGTAGACCTTCTCTTCCTGCTGAACATAATTTTGAGATTTGACATCCCGTTTAGATATCTGAAAATCCACTTAATAGCATTACAATGCTCTCTTCCAGGATTATTTATGTATCGACTAACAACACTGACAACATGAGATAAATCCGACCTGTTACAAACCATAGTATACATGAGGCTTCCGATTGCGCTAGCATAGGGCACCAGAGATATCTGCTCTATCTCCTCATCCGTAGTGGGACACTGCCGTTCAGATAACTTGAAATGACTCGCCAATGGAGTGCTTACTGACTTGGCCTTTTTCATGTTGAAACGCTTTAGCACATTTTTAACATACCTTTTCTGAGATATCCAGAGTTTACCTGCATTTTTATCTCTATGAATCTCCATACCAAGGATCCTACGAGTAGCCCATAGATCCTTCATATCAAACTCAGAACTTAACATAGATTTGAGAGAAGTTATTTCGCATGCATTCTTGGCAGCTATGAGCATGTCATCAACATAAAGCATCAAGAGAATAAGAGAATTATCATTAAGAACTTTTAAATAAACACAATAATCATACTCACTTCTTGAATCTTGAATAGCCAATCCGCACCATGAAAGAGTCGAAGCGCTTGTACCACTACCTGGGAGATTGCTTAAGACCATAAAGCGATCTCTTGAGTAAGTAAACTTAATCTTCATTTCCATGCACCTTGAAGCGTTCAGATTGCTCTATAAAGATTTGTTCCTCTAAATTACCATGAAGAAGCGTTATCTTCACGTCAAGCTGTTCTAGCTCCAAATCAAACATGGCTACTAAAGTAAGTAATATCCTTATTGAAATGTGCTTGACAACTGGAGAAAATATTTCATTGTAGTTCACTCCCTCGTTCTAAGCATAGCCTTTTGCTATGAGCCGAACCTTGAATCTCTCACATTCCTTTTCTGTTGCTGCCTCTTTCTTTTGAAAGATCCACTTGCACCCAATCATTTTCTTTCCCTTGGGCCTCTTGACAAGCTCCCAAGTCTTGTTTTCTTTCAGAAACTTCATCTCCTCCATCATGCTGTCATTCATTTATCACTCTATGAATCACTTAGAGCATCTTCAAAGGAGTCGATTTCTCCAATAGTTAGAGCAAAGGCTACCATGTCCTCAAAGCCGTATCTCACTAGGGCTTTGTGAACACGCTTTTTTTTGCCTTTTGCTAAATTGTAGGGTTCACCGTATGATTGTTGCTGTTCTGGTATGCTGTTAGATGATTTTTCATCTTCTAGTGTTGCAGACTCTTCTAGCTTCACCTGGACTGTCGATCTTTCTCCATCCCTTTCATCTACTTGTACTTTGTCATCTTGCATGTCGATTGACTTCATCATGTGAGATTCATCACACACAACATCCCTGTTGAGTACAACCTTATGTGAAGTAGGATCCCAAAGCTTGAATCCCTTCACTCCCTTTTCAAAACCGAGAAAGATGTATTGTTTAGACTTAGAGACTAATTTGAAACGTTTACTACTTTGCACATGGATATAGGCTGGACATTCAAAGATCCTCAACATAGAGTAATCTACCGGCTTTCCTATCCACATCTCCTCTGGAATTTGCAATCAATCGTTGTAGATGGTGACCTATTAACGATGAAACATACTATGTTAACTGCTTTTGCCCATAAACTTTTCTTCAAATTTGCATTCCAGCATACTACGAGCTCTTTCCAAAAGAGTTTTGTTCATCCTCTCAACCACATCATTTTGCTAAGGAATTTCTAGTGTGGTAAAGTGACGTACAATTCCCTATTCTTTACAGAATTCTTGAAATTCTCTAGACTTGTACTCCCCTCTATTATCTGATCTCAAGCATTTCAGTTTCTTTCATGTCTTCCTTTTTACTTCTGCATTCCATTGTTTTAACTTCGTGAATGCTTCACTTTTGTGTTTCATGAAGTAGACCTATACCTTTCTTGAGTAATCGTCAATGAAGGTAATGAAGTATTCTGCCCCACCCTTGGATTTGATTGGTGAAGGCCTCATACATCAGTGTGTACATAGTCTAGTATATCCTTACTCGTATGAATTGTAGTTTTGAATATAATCTTGCACTGTTTACCGAAAACACAGTACTTACAGAAATCCAGTTTACAGGCTCTGAACCCTTCAACAATTTTCTTTTATGAAGTTTCATCATACCTCGTTCACTCATATGCCCTAAACGCATAAGCCACAAATTTGAGTTATTTGTGTTGGACTCAACATCTGTGGTTATAGAAGCTCCACCTATAAATAAACTTGCCCTTCCCCTTTGATTTTGACTGACTTCTGCTTCCAAACCTCCTTTGATTTAATCTGCCTCTTTCATGACTCTCTTTATGTTTTTCAAAGAAACCTTCTCCTTGAGATTTAATACTGCTAGTCTTCTTCCTTATCTCGTTTGACATAAGAGTAGCAGTGACTTCGTCCTTCTCAAGAGTCTCATTTCCATAAAGTAGAGTCGTAACCAGGTGATTGTATGATCTTTGAAGCGAAGCCAACATAAGTAAGGCATTGTTCTCATCCTCGATTTCGTCCTCAAGGCTTGCTAATTGGCTTATGATCTGGCTGAACTCGTTGAGATGTTCAAGCAGATCGGTATCTTCTTCCATCTGAAGAGAATACAACTGCTTCTTTAAGAACAACTTGTTCGTTAGAGATTTCGTCATGTAGATACTCTCGAGGTTTGTACAAACCTCCATAGCAGTTTCAAGATCCACGACATAACGCAAGGAGTCATTTGAGAGATTCAGACGAATCACACTTACCGCCTTTTCCTCCATTTCTTGCCACTTTTCATCGTCCATATTTACTGGTTTATTCGATTTCCTTAGCAAAGCCTTAGCTAGACCTTGCAATATCAAAAGATCCTTCATCTTTCATCGCCAAAGGGTGAAATTGTTCTTTCCATTGAACCTCTCAATGTCATACTTGATGCTTGAGCCCTTTCCTATCATCATGGTAGCAAACCCCAGAACGCGGAATAACCTTGTAAGCTCTGATACTAATTTGTAGAAACGAAAAGCAATCCACGAAAACAAGAAAGAAGAAATAAACACAAAAGAAAGAAACAACCAACCACAACGCAAAGATATATGTGGTTCGGCAACGTGCCTACATCCATAGGAGATTAGAGCTTATTTACTGGCAATTGAAAATAGGGTTACAATACGCTCTCTTCCTCACGCCTCTCTGTTTTTATCTCATTACAAAGAGATTTGTATTTTTTCCTTAACCCTTAACTTTTGGATGAACCCCCCAATCGCAACGATATATATCGATTCCCAGATATATGGTATAAATTATTGAAATACCCTTATATGGATATATATATCAAGTCCCAGATATATCGAATCTCATGTACGGATATATCGTAACCTTGGTAGATATATTTTCTCAGAATACAAGACATCAATCATCAACATTACAACCATCCATTTTGAAATCTAAAGGATAAGAATGATTGTAACATTCTCATTCAAAAAGTAAAAAGTCTCTTTGTTGGCAACCCCAATTATAAAAGTAAGTGAGAACTAGGCAATTTGGCTGATGGAGATTGCCCTTGTCCCTCAATCCCCATAGACTACCCTGGTTCCCTAATAGTATTGACTGAGAACCTATAAACTAGGCCGATATCCAATTCTATGAAGTGACCTAGTCTATC